GATTAATTTGCGTGACTTAGCTCAAGTTTTTCGCATTTTCGTGATTACACCTACAGACGCTAAGAATCTCATTTAATTGGTACGCCATTGACTATGATCACGCTGAACAAAACGGAAAAAAAAGTATCATGAAAAGTAGCGATTTTTTTTTTTTGCCATGAACTCGTGAAGTGCAAACAGTGGCACGCTGACTCAGCGGACGCTTACGTCCGGATTGCTACGCGAAGTATAGTTGGTTTTTTCTGTGTTCAACTATTCACGAGGATGGTGGTTCTGGGACGTTAAAGCTCAATCATATAAGTTTATTATTATTATTATTAGTAGTAGTAGTAGTAGAAGTAGTAGTAGTAGTAGTAGTAGTAGTAGTAGTAGTAGTAGTAGTAGTAGTAGTATCACGGAGACTTCTATGCACGCCAAAGTAGAGTTTCACGTGCTATCTGCAATGATGTACGTACAGTTGTTAGGAATGGCAAACTTCGCGTGGTTGCAAACAGGTGCTGCACAAACAGGAAAGCAGGAAAGAAGTCCAGCGACAGCTCTGCGGTCAGCGCATGCCGATCCAAAATGCACACGACACTGCTTGTGTTACCTTGATTTCTATCGCACGTGCAATTTTCTGAGGTGGGTTTCGATTCCTTAATACTAGGACAGAACGCTTGAATAAAAATGCGCGTTGATGTTTGTACTTCTCGTGGTGGCCTTTGGTTTTCACATGCACATTTTGAAACAATACCTCTATTACGACAGTTGGTTATATATATCAGCTTGGGGTGTGAACGCACCAGTTCGTTCACCTCATCTTTCAAATCATTATCAGTAACTGGAAGCCATATGTGACTTTTTAAATATAAGACTAGCAGCTCATAAGACGGAATAAGATAAGATAATAAGAATAAGTTCGAAAAAAAAACTTCCTTTTCTTTTCCTAAAGCAGAGTGACTCAGCGCATATATAATGGCCTAAGACAGCCGTTCACTTTATAAGTAAAGGCTTGAAGAGATGCGGCGTCACGTCGGCTAGTTTTTGTGCCGTGTTTGTCACTCTGCTCGACTGTATTTGTCAAAAGCAAACGGGTGTGAGGGTTGGTCGTCGACTACACCGATACAGCATTTTCCGTCGGTCCATGTCTGCGGTATCACAGATAGAGAGAAAACAGGTTTGTGCCCTAGAATGTTTTCATGGTAGGTTCAAAACAGCGTCAGCTGTAGTTGGAGCTGTGCCGACAACTACAGGAACAAAAACGTTCACAATTGTACCGCTTTGTTTACTTCGGAAGAGACGAGAAATCGCGACGGCTTCGGCGGTAGCATCAAAGGGACCGAGAGGCGAACGCACGTGTGCTCCAGTTAGCGTGGATGTCATGCAGCCTCCTCGTTACGCGCGGTTGTCATCGCTTCCGTGCAACCACGAATATGCCGCTCTGCCCTTGTTTTCCCGCATGGCCTTTCAGCGTGACGAAAGCCATTCTTGCGGTGCACGCTTTGTCATGCTCCTTCTAAAAGTAATGAACTTGTTGTTACTGCAGTTTCATGCCACGTCGCTGGGCGTCGTTTCTTCTGCACGTTTCTTCGACAGATGCCTGGGAGTAAACCACGGCGTATAGTTTTAATTTGCGTACTGCATCAGGTCGAAGCGTGATTGTGTATTATTCATGGGGGGTGTGCAGGGTTCCGCTTCAGGAGGGGAGGGTGGTGAACGTTCGTCGCAGCAACCCCCTCTCTGAGAAGTCAATGTGCGGGGCAGACTTCGCACCCCCCCCCCCTCCTTTTTCAGGCGACAGAGAAGGGCACCCCCTTGCCTCACGGTGCGCATCTCTGTGGTATTATTCACAGATAAAACGTTTGGCGTCGCCCCATGGAGATTGTGCGTTGTAGTCAGCAACCCGGTGAATATGTAGTTCTGTTCTGCTATTCCCTACGTTACTCGTGTTTCTTTTTTCAGGTAAGAGATAAAGAAGCAAGGAAAGCAGGGTAGGCGTGATCTGAAGTTTTTAGCTTAAATGCATTAATTTTAACGCTTCCTGAATTCAAATAGAGTTGATTTATATGTGGGGTTTAACGACCCAAAACTACCATATAATTATGAGGGACGCAGTAGTGGAAGGCTCAGAAAATTTCCACATCTTGGGATTCTTTAACGTGCTCACAAATCTGAGCTGACGGGCCTACAGCATTTTCGCCTACATTGTAAATGCAGTCGCCGCAGCCGGGATTCGATCCCGTGACCTGCGGGTCAGCAGAAGAATAAACCTTAGCCACTATAACCACCGCGGCGGGGCGAATTCAAACAGGGTAAACGAGAACAACTTGCCACAGATGGGCTTCGAACGCACGACCTTACGTGTGATTCTCTATTAGCTGAGTTTTGGGGCGATGACCATGACTCTGTGCGCGCACACACACACACAGATATATATATATATATATATATATATGTGTGTGTGTGTGTGTGTGTGTGTGTGTGTGTGTGTGTGTGTGTGTGTTTTCACTAGTGACAATCAAATCATAATAGACATGGTGTCGAACATGACAGTTCTCTTTTATCCTCTGAACGAATCATGATAGGTCCTCTTTGAAAGTGTCCGCCTGTTAGTGTTAGTGAAGAGGACACAGTTAATGCGCTTTGCGTTATAAGTATCGTGATGGTTACTCATTTACTTCAGTGGTGTGTGCTATTACTGAAATTAAGAAGATGTAACTACCCTATTGACTATTTTACCTAGAACATTTGCACGCCACCTTCTTGGGCTGTTATGTCGATAGATTTTTTTTTGTATTATCATTATGATCAGCCTGACTACGCCTATTGCAGGAGAAAGTCATCTCCGATGTTCCGACTGTAAACTAGGTCATTTGCATGCATGCTGGTGCCGCTTTGTACCCGCAAAGTTCCTAATCTCATCTTCCCACCTAACTCTCTGTCCCCCCTTCACTTGCTTACCTTCTCTTGCTTTCCAGTCTCTCTGGCTTCATCTCAGGCTCTGTGACATCATTAAACATAACAAACCAACTTGCCAAAAAGTATGTTGTTTGAGACTTTGCTACAGAAGCAGTGTTAAGATTTCACTGCATGCATCCTTCGTCCATTCTCAGCCCACTACATTACAAATGTTCGGAGCAGAGATGTTTCGGCACCTCTAAATCTTCGGTGTCTCTAAGGCTTCGTCAATCATTACACGCCCGCTTAATAAGCGACGTATCTTCACAAAAATCGAAACAAGCATTCTTAGCGCTCAGCATAGCTGATGAAACCACAGCGCTGACGACATGGCAGAAGATGGAAAATTACGAAACTGGTATTCGAGGTCACCTGACTAACGAACTCTACGACTACGTCACTGGCCCCTCGAATGTGCTTTGAAAACGAAACTACATCTAGACAAAGCATACGAGCATATATAATTAAATATTCGTATCGCACTGGGTCAAATGCGTTTCACTCTCGTTATTAACAGCCTTTAGCAACAAATAAATAGCGAAAAAGGCAGATCCCACGTACCATGGGAATCGGTGTTATGTGAAGTATGCGAAGGGAAGGTGACTGAGTGTATTTTTTTATTCAGCGAAACATTACAAAATGACACCAATTATATGTACAAATGTTGTACGCACACACATATGTTGAAGAGTCACATTTGTTTTAAATAACAGGTTGTTTACAGTTCCGTAATGATCCAACAGCAACGTAGGTACTACCAACACCATCAGCTTATATTACACGTATCGCTGGTGCTTGCGAGGATGGTAGCCCTGGTTAGTGCTACGTAGACCACCTTAAGTGGATGGCGCTTAAGTATAAAACTGGCGTTGACCCTACGTGACGCCTGTATCTTAGGAGTACATATACGGAATGTTCTTAAAATCAGGTAGGCAACACTGTAATCACAATCGGCGTTTTCTAACATTACGCCTGCAAAGGGTCTTTTGCCAAAGACGTTTCTCGACCTTGCGTGGTTCTGTGGTAGAAGACTCGATTGTCACGCAAAACGCTATGGCACGATTCCCGCCGGGATCCACACTTCTAAATACTTTGCATTCGTTGGATCAAAGCTGCAGTTGTCAGTTTTTTTTTTTTTTAACGCTCTCGTACCGATGTTCGTAGCCACCTTTCTTGGGTAGATATAAAGTGTCAATCACCTGTCGCACAAACCCGCTAGTGGTATACGCGTATGTGACACACATGCTTAGATAAAAGGGTTTGACAACGCATACTCGACTGAATTTTCGCGTTATTCGTGTCATGACCGGCCAGATATATTCGTTAAACCCGCTTACCCTTTAATACTAACTTTGGTCTACCACAAGTTTAGGAGGCGGTCACGAGAGCACCCAGACGTAGGCAGCTCTATAGATAGGTAGATACGTATAGTATATAGATAGAAATGCCGAGATTACCGGCTGTTCGCTATGAAATGCTTCGCATTTAAAAACGCAGGTTCATAAATGTTGTGTTGCCACTCCTTTAAAGGGACCATCAACGAACATTTATGGTGTGTATTTATTTATTTATTTATTCATTCTGCGTCTAGTCGCGGAACGATAAAGGGCAGAACGCCGAGGGCAGAATGCAGTACGGAACGATAAAGGGCAGAACGCAGAGGGCAGAACGCAGTAAAGGGCAGAACGCAGTACGAGATCGTATACTGACATGCTTCACAGAGTGAGTGCGAGAGCGGTTCGTGTTCGAGCGCGGCGGTTTACTGCGCGTGCGTTCACCCCGCACGCATGCGCCGGGACTCGACTTTGACCACTGGCAGCCGCGACAGTGGCGCCGCTTCTCACCATGCAATTTCTTTCACGTCGCGCACAGCAAAGGACTAAGCGGAGCTTGATAATAATATACATACTCGAGACTGCGCGACTACGTACGGCAAAGTGACCGACCCCATATTCCGCAATCCAAGGCCTCAAGGACGTTCTGCTAGGTTGCACAAAATAACGGTTTTTGTTACTGTTAAGTACAATTTAAAGACATGAATCCTAGTCACGAGGCGAAAAGAATGCTGGGACCTATCACTATTATTCATGGTCTTTTTCATTTCTATTATAGATAGAATCACACGTTTCGGGCCAGTTGTCGGTCCCTATAATGCGTTAACGGCAGTCACGTGGTGGATCACTTCGGAGCCTGTAGCTTTTTCATTGTGCTCACTTCTCCTGAAGTTTTCAAAGCTACAGACGGGCAAGGCACACAGCTCCCATTGTGTATCGGTATCACTATAACGTAGCACCGTTATTCAGCCCAGTTGCATTGAATCATCATAGCACTGAATCCAACCAGGGTGCCCACGTTCCATTGTGTAACTCTGGAAATCCGGCGGGGTCTTTAGGAGCGTTCAATGGTGGAACTGCAATGGCGGCGTACGCCTCGATTCGCTTCCTTAGGAACTCCACGACCTGCAAAGTGAATGAACGAAAGTGATTATGAATATAATTGTACAACGATCGAACAAAGGCTTATTCTCTCATATTGAATTTCCCGTTCAGTGGATAAGTAAACGCGCCTAATGTGCAATCGTCATCTTTATGAAAGGGAACACGCGAGCGCTTGGCAGATAGCCTCGACAGTCACATGTGGTGCGGCATGCCCACATGTAAGAATCAGAGAGAGAGAGAGAAAAAACACGAAGCCATTCATTCTTACACTTCTGTCCCTGTGTAATCTTTCGTGCTGATTATTTCTGCACATACATCTGTTGCGACATTTCACAGCACATACATTGTTGCGACATTTCAGCACACAATGGTCGTTTTTGGTAAGTATCGTTGTTATGGTAACTTCAGTAGCCTTTGCAAAAACAAAGATCAGAACTAATTTCGTGACATGGGGTCATAGCAGTAGAAAGAACGATATCGCTCTTCCCCTTTCGTTTCACATGCCGCCGTGGCACCGTGCACACAGGTGGGCTTCGCCGCTATCTGCCACGTGCTCGCGTTCTTCGTTTCGTAAACAGGAATACCCCACTCATTGGGCTATCTTGACATTGTTATTATACAAAATAAATATTTATATAAAGCGAGGACGCTGTTACTTGCATACTTTTAAATACATATTTTAGATGCATGCCAAGTATAATTGACATGGGGGTTTAACGTCCCAAAACCACCGTATGAATATGAGAGACGCCGTAGTGGAGGGCTTCGGAAATTTCGACCACCTGGTTTTTTTTTAATGTGCATCCAAATCTGAGCACACGGGCTTACAACATCTCCGGCTGCATCAGCCGGGGTTCGGTCCCACGACCTGCGCGTCAGCAGCCGAGTACCCTATAGCCCCTAAGCCACCGTGGTGGGACTGCATGCCAAGTACACAACGTATCTTAAATGCGCTCGTGAAACACGCACGAAGCAATGGCGCACTGTATTGACATGTAACTACTGACCTCCGGAAGTGAGTCGGCCAAATTGTTCCGCTCGCAGGGGTCCGCAACGATGTCGAACAAGAAGACGGTGTCGTTGTCAGAAAAGTTTTCCGGTACCCGTCGATCACATTTCAGTGTCGCTTGTCCCTCCAGTGCCGGGGAAGTTCCAATTGGTTCCTGTGGTAGAAGTTCCTCAGCACTTTCGCCGCCTGGGACCGAGCGAGCAGCTTGTCGAGGTCATTCCACGGACGCTTGCCCCCGGCCGTAGGGTAGCGCTGGTTGAACATTCCGCTATCGTCGAGCACCAGCTTGTACTTAGAGAAGCGCAGTCCCTGTGCGTTGAAAATCCACTTGTCGTAATTGTATAGCATCTCTACGCGAGGTGAATTCGATCCCTGAGAGAGGTATCGCCACATGTCGAATCCGTCCAATTTTCCGAGGCTCGTTACGTTTCCCCCTGAAAAAAAAAGAAGATCCATGGAGAGGGGAAACATAATTGAGTATTGGTATATGCGGCAAACAAATGACGTCGAAAGCTATAAAGCGGCAACCACGCGAAAATTACTTTGGGTGCAAGTAATGTCTTAATACTTCCTGTAGGGTGAGCGTGCCGCACATTCAAATTAAATACCGGGACTTCGCTCGCTGGATTCCGTGCCGACTGGTTGTGCCCTTGCGATCTCTGACGTCAGCGTAGCTCTGGTCGACTGGGATGGCCCTACGTCATCTCCTGACGCCGACCTTCGACGACAGTGCAGCTCTGACCTACCGGACTTGCCCTACGCCATCTCCTGACGCCGACACGAGCTCTCGCAAGTGGTGCCCCGTCCTCGGACTCCTGTGACCGTGTTTCCATCTTTCCTATCTCTTCTAACCCCTCGATTTGTCCTCGCTCGCTGGCCTAGCGCATCTTTCTCTCTGTATACATTTAATCCTATTCTTTTCATCACTCCTCACCCCCATCTCTTGTGAGCTACATTTGAGGTATCGCTCCCAGAAGCAGACAGTTACGGGGCTCATTTCTCTTCCTTTCTCTCTTAGAACCACTTAGTAGTAAATACCGATTGGTGCTTATGATGACCAGGATGAGTGTACAGGGGCTTTCATTGCCAACGTGCAGTGAATATTATTATTTTGAGTAAAACAAGGCATTTATTGCCCCTACTCGAGCCGACCCTGACCCATAATATCTGTTTTCTTGGCGCATTCATTGATAAGATACCGCTATCTGTCGTGCTTGCATGTAGGTTTTTGGCCTAATTACAACAGCGCCACCGTCGTTACGATAATGACTGTTGAACTATAACAAATTACATGGATAAACGCATGCCTTTAGAGTTGCAGCAGCGTCATCCACGAACTTAAATATTGTTAATTTCTTACCTACATTACCATCATCAACAACACCAGCATCCTTCTTAATTTCCCTTGACTAAGTGGCGTACTTACCACCAATTGAGTAGAGTGTCGGCAGCCAGTCCGTGATGTGCATAAGTTGATGGGACACTTTATGCCTCTTGTAAAGCAAGGGACTCCAAACGAATGCCGCCGACCTGGTGCCGCCTTCCCAAATGGTGCCTTTAGCGCCACGCAGCGGCCAGTTGAAACTGCGGCTTGCATGTGCGCCGAACGGGGCACCGCCGTTGTCGCTGCTAAAGGCGATGACTGCGTTCTGCAGCATTCCGGCGGAATTTAGAGCCGCGAACACCTCGCCTACGGACTGGTCCATCGCGTCCACCATCCCTGCGGTCCGATAAGGCGTAGAAGTTAACGCTGTTGATTACTAAAACAACACCACGAAAGAACAGTCACAAATGCTTGTTGAACGATTTTTCTTAACTGTAATGCTGAGGTTATCACTCCATTCGCTGACTAGCTGACTGCGATTCATTGTGAGACATGGTTTGTGCACGTTTATGCCTAATTAGTCGCATTCATAATTTTTGCTGCTTCGAGAATACGAAAATTATTTAATGCGGGATACACTTAAAATGCTTACGTAATCAGTATATTATGCTGACAAAAGGCCAGGCAGGAGCGCCTTTCCCGTGTAAAGGCCTATCTTACCTGCAAATATAGTTCTTTTCTGTTCCCCAATGTAGGGAAACTTGTCGACGTTTTCTTGTGGCGCTTGTGGGAGGCCTTCGATGTCTGCACCATGCACTGCCTGGTAGGACAGCATAAGGAACAGCGGCTGCATGTGGAAACATAATAATGTCCATGAACATTTGAAAATAGGCCACTAGACAGCACTTGTTGGGCTTAGTGGCATCGACGCAAATGATTGCGACATGTTTTAACCTGCTTACCTGCACTGAAAGTACATTTCTGCATCTTACCTTTGTCTTGTTTCTGTTGGCTATGATATGTCGAGCTCTTTCCGTGTACAGAGTGGTGGAATATGTCCCATTTACAGACCACACCGGATCGGTGTTCAGCCAAAAGTCGAGGCCTGTGTGGTTTTCCTATAATACAAGTGCGCCCATATAATCATTTCTTTTTGCAATGCAAAGTCATAAAAAAATTAACACTTACGCATCCGTGCAGACCCCCTTTCGAGACTGAAATCTTTATAACCAGCCCAATATTGAGCCGTCGAGCATTTTTACATAGCGATGTCCAACAATGTGCAACGATGTACATGAGGTTATGAACCGAGTACCACCTACTCTGATCACGTGACCCCTTCTACGCCAGAGCGTTGCCACGAAGACACCATGCCCAAAACCAATGCGGTATTGCTGTAGCACTATGCATTTCAACCAACTCCTCCAGTCTGACATCCTTCGGAAATGACGCACTGGTTAGGAGAGTTAACATCACCATCATCATCAGCCTGACCACGCCAACTACAGGAGAAAGGCCTCTCCCATGATCCGCCAATGACAGTAACTTAACCAGTACGCTCTAAGGCTGACGCAGATTATTTGTCTTTGATATCAACCTCCCGCAACTTCAATTGACTAATGATAAATAAACCGACTAATACGTATCGTCGGTACTATTGCGGCACCATGAAAAGGCGAAACGTGGAAGGTACGAATTTGTGTTTTTTTTTTTATTTTCACGTGGTCTTTAGTATTCTCACCATTGCTTATATAATTTTGTCTTTTAATCATGGATCTATAGTCTCGGTTTACGGCGCAATGCACATCCCTAAGACGTTTTCTTCATCAATAGTAGAAGTCAACCGAGAGAAGTACCTGCAGCCTATAGCGGAATAAACTGGAGAATCGCGATGTTGCACAGCAACCACAGGAAAAAAAAAATTAATGGCCCCCGAATTAGAAGCCAGCACGCAATAAATTTTTACTTCATTTTTAGGCAATTGCGAGGTTTGGTGACTCTTCATTATGTTGTTTCCCTGTGAGAGGGCTTCTCGTCACACTCTGTACAATTTCGTAAAGGACACTTGTGCAGAGTAATTTGTAAGACCTATGTATTTCTTTCGCGATATTTCATTTGGCCCATGCTTGCATTATTCCATAAATATAACAGTATGTTCTACGGGGAGTACTTACATTTTTCATAAAACGGGTTTTTCTTTTGATAAACGAAAATCGTCATAGCAAATGTCATTATGCTACGATCATTACGTTTGCGATCAGGCCAGTTTCTTTTAACATCTGTTTGCTACTTACATATGTGATGCTGTGAGTGTAGTAGTCCTCCTCGCCGTTGTAATATCCGTAAAAGCTGTCGAAACCTCGGTACGTGGGAGTGAGGCTATCCGTATAATACCCGAGGTTCCACTGCGTGTAAAATCAGTCATAAACGTCTCCAAATCGTAAACAAGAACGCACCAATACTCCATTGAAACACCAAACTCCAGCTATATACGAAAATGCTCAGTGCGCTTTGCATTGAACAACAATAAATATAAAGAGTGCAGATAGTTGAACAGCCGATGTTGCTCTCTACGAACGCTTGTTGCTCGCAACAATGTATAGCACTATATCGCGCAAGTCGCGAAAGTGCGAACGGTGACAGTGGCTAATTGGAAACACTTAGGTGGCTGATCGATCAACAGTGGTGTCAGAGGTATGCCTGCAATTTATAGCACTCACGTACATGGATTTCACGTGACTGCAAGCGCTTTACTTCTCGAGTTTATCTTCTTCGGCGAAGCATTTTCTATATTGCGGTTTTGTGGGTCTCCACGGAAGACCCACAGTGTGCAGCGCCCAAAGGTTTCCAGCGAAAGTCACGCCTCAGCATGTTACTGGCGTTTCCGGTGTCGCACAAGTTTGTGGCATTTTCTACGCTAACCATCCCTGTTAATCTTTTGAGGCAGTGTTTGTCACAACAGTATGGCTACGAGGAGATAACTGTGGACTAATACAATGCCTTTGAGGTGTACGTCTCCTTTTCTTTCTTTCTTTCTTCCTTTCTTTCTTCTTTCTTTCTTTCTTTCTTTCTTTCTTTCTTTCTTTCTTTTCTTTCTTCCTTTATTTGCTGTCGCGGGCAGCTCTTCAATATGAGGTTCCTCGAATTCCTGAATTATACGCTAGTCTCCTTTTAGGCGTTTTGGTTTAGGAACACTGTCTTTCCTTCACTCATCATAACTGAACATTAGGGAAGCTTTAGTGAGAAACCGTCGCTCTCTAAAGTTTGAACATGATAAACGTAGGCAACTTCACTTTATTTCTTCCTTATCGTTACAGACTCCTTGACCAACCATTATACAACATAAACAGAAAAATAATGGTCCCTGTGCCCCCCGCCAGTCTAATCTAAATCCAAAGCTGCGAGCTTTTTGCAGCTGGTTTTGCGCTGCTCTGTGATAGGCCCATCTTTGACCAAGCTGACGATTTTATGTGATGCACAAATTTTATCGACCTGTAGCGTCGTTGTGACGTCATATAGTGACGTCATTGCGTGATAATTTTTGGCATCACTCGTGTTGATGCCGCCGATGGACGATGACGACAATCAACTTTCGCAATTCATGAGGCATTAAGTTTTTTACCTGTATAAAGCACTCACCTTCGTACGAGGCGGGTGAAGTTAAAGATTTCGTTACTGCCTTCAGCATATTCCCTCGCCGCTGCAGGACAAATGAATAATATCCGATTTACTTGCTCCTGCGTGAGCTGATTCTTTATTTATGCCAGTGAACTTCTTTATTTCGTCCCAGCACCAAACTCCTCAACATCATCGCCAGCTTTTTTTTATCCCTAGATATTCACTACTTTTCTCTAACCACCAACTGTTTGCCTACCATGCTCATTATGTGGCCAGCCGAGGCTTGTTTTCTCCTCCCCCCCCCCCCCCCCCGTATTTTTTTTTCTTCTGAATGACAACTAGAATATCGGCTACTCCTCTTGGTCCTGTGACCAATTTCGCTCTATCCCCATCTTTTAATGTTGCGTCTATCTTTCACCTTTCCAATAAGATGAGTCTCGTAGCCCAGATCCTTTAGGTACTGAGGCAGAATCCGCAAATTCGATGGAAGCGCCCACGCTTCGGCAACGTCGATTGCGAGGCCTCCCATGCCTACAAAAAAAAATTAAAAAAAACTCACACTGAAAAAACTCACACTGAAGGCTCGGCATAAGCAGCTCGAACAGGGGGAAAAGGCAAGCCGATGAACGGCGCATATCGAAGGAAAGATCAAAACGAGCGAGGGCCTCTTCTGGATCACCAAACACTGACCAATTTGCTATCATGGCACTGTTCCGAAAAATCCTCGTGGCTGCGTGCTTGTTGTAGTCTCGTGCGCAAATGCAGCACAACAGCTTTAGGAGCCCCCGTTTTCGGCGGCCTTCAAGTAACCGTGAGTCGAAATGCCGATGACCCAATTCGGGCAGTTCAAACGAGACATCTTGACTGACACTGAAGTGCACCCTAATACTCAAACAAGACAATTATTGCTTCCAAGTTCTTCATGTTTGTTTACAGTGTCACTGCCGTCGCAACGTACAATACTCTGACTTTTTATCTGCGATTTTCTGTAGCGGCGTTCCAATGGCTGATAGTAACTACGCTTCAAACGTAAACGGCAACATGAACTTGATTTTCATCTTTTCGCGCTGAAAACATGTTATCAGTGTTCGGAGGGCGGGTCGAGTGAATTGCTCTACCTCCGAAATATGGTGCCACGCTGTGACTACGCCTCGCGTATTGAATTTCGGTGAGCCTAGACAAGCATGAAGTTTATTTCAAAGGAGGTTCACTCCAGTTCAGTAAGCTTTCAGGCCTGCATGCATCGCGTCGTGGCCGCATACGCTAGGCAAAGCTCCGACCATTGTATACTTTGCTGGTAGCCATTTCACGCTTGCATCTACAGTCGATTACAAGGCAGCCAGCAAGCAGTATTTAAAGAAGCCCTGCGACACTCTTTCAAGTGGCCGTTGAATTACTTCATCGAATGAGTTTATTGCCTCACGAATCAACAGGGGCAAAAACTTTCAAAATTCGTCGAGTACGAGCGGAGATCTGTCGCGTGCTGTCGCTGCTTTCCTTCTTCTCTCGTCCTGACGAGTGCGCTCGATCTAAGCCGCAAGGAATTTCACGGGGAAATAAGGTTACGTCTAGCGCGCATGATAACATCAAGCTTTTTTTTTTTTTTCTTCGAATGCGCGGTGCCTCTTTAGTACGATTCTGAGCGTGTGCGCGGGCACGTGGGGGTCACTCCCCGGTGACAGCAGTATTTATTCAGCTAACTAACTACGCTGAAATCAGCAAGTGGTTGTGTATATGGGTATATGGCGCGGTAATTTGGCATATGACATCAGTTCTTGAAAAAATATTCAATGGTCTTTTGCTCACCTCGAGAATTATTTGTAAATTCTAGGCCACGTACTTAGCTACAATGCTTGGCTCGCGTATTTTAAATGGGCCCTGCAACACCTTTTCAGCATGGTCAGAAACCAATGCCGATTCGGCAGTCGAGGATCCCGAGAAAACGGGAGCACAACGCGCGGCTTCGAATTCGCAAAAAGTGCTCAAAGTCAGCTAAAGATTGCTTTCGCTTCCCTCGACAATTCACGATACAAGCTCGGAAATCACTCGTCATGGCTAAGGCACGCTTGGTCGTTACTTGGGCCGCCGTGAGAGGCCGTGACTTGTTCACGCGTTCGGCGGCGATCGCACTGAACAGCGGCGTGTCCAAAGGAAAGAGAGAGAGAGAGTGCGCAAGGTCACGAAGCGCACATGAAGTATTTTCTTTGCCTATGCCATCCCTCCTTGCTTAGCTTCTAGTTCTTTCTTCAGGATGAGAGAATAGAGAATGTAATTGTAACGTGCGACAAATATTAGAAACTTTTCTCGTACTGGACGAACTCTTTAATACTTCGCGGCGGTGAACTCGTTAAGCAATGAGTTCTTTTATCAAATACATTCCAAGGCTACTTGAAAAAGTGTTGCCAGTCCTGTTAAGGAGCGTCGACAATTCTAAAGCTATGCTTTTTATGACAAATCCTCACCTATTCTGCCAACCAGAACGTCCAAAGCGTGTGTGCCGGCTGAATAGAGCATGCAAGCAGATGTACAGATGGCGTGTGAGTGTCTCATCGCATTTGCATGTGTCATATACGTGAGGCTCTCGGCCCTATATATGGCACTGTGGAAAGTTCAAGACTCGGTAAAAGTGACGCCGAACCACAAATAGCGCACCATATTTTGTGGATGCCATAATAAGTCAAGCGATAGACGAAGTTACGATCAAGTAGCAATGAACGTATACGCAGACGAGGCATCACCTATGCGGGCTGGGTACAGGCCAGTCATGAGAGCAGACCTTGACGGCGTGCATGCTGGCTGTGCGTAGTAGTTGTTCAGTATGACGCCGTCAGCAGCGAGGGCGTCCAAGTTCGGAGTGGGTATCTGAGAGGATCCATGAAAGCTGACGTCGTCCCACCCCTGCAAGGCAATCATTCGCTCAGTTCGTACTCGGGATATCATCTTTGACTTTTTTTCACTTTTCACGTGCCCTTCTCGGCAGGTAGGATACCCATGCCTAAACAACTTCCCGCACGCAGCTTACACGGGTATTAAGCTTAAATTCCGCACTCACTTCTTTTTCCGATGACCCGCCCTGCCAGATGACCTTACTCACTACGAAAAAACAAATACGAGGACGTTTGAGGCAGACGTAGACGTCCGCAATAAAACGTAACTAAAAGATAAGAATGACTGAAAGTTGACCCAGTTGGTAAGTATTTATGGTAAAATTAGCTATACGTGAAAACAGGAACACAGGTTGTCACGACAGCAAGGCTTGTGTGTCCGTATTGGCCCGCTTACTTTCTTTTGCGATGTAATTAAAGTATGCCGAGAATTTACGCCAGCGCGAGCACGGTTCTCGCAAAAAACTTTGTAGTAGCATATGTATACAAGCATATGTATTCAAGTTGTATATGTATAAAACTGCATAAAGTGGTATAATTATTCCACGTCGTTACTTACCAAGTCATCTGCTAGGAGGAATATGATGTCAGGTGGTGTTTTACTACACTGCGCCAATGGAAGAAGTAATAGAAGTCCGAAGAACAACATTTCGGAGCTGTAAATGTTTAAGAAAAATATAATTTTTCTGCAAACCAGCCATCGTCATCTTAACAAGCACATGTACATTACGGCCTTTCATCTGCATGAAAAACATTGGCATTTATAACAAAATACTTCCATAACAAAGTGTCAGCGAATTATGCGCATGTAGCTTTGATTACCTTTCAGTGCTGAGTTTGTCACCTGAAAGGTCACTCTAGGCTAGTGCGTGTGCGCACCGACTTTCGGGGGTTCGTGCGTGTGCTCGTGGGTATGCTAGCGTATATTTACGGTAGTATTATAAGTTTTAAAATGTAGATTGTGGATAGCTGTAACATATTTCTCTGGTAATGCAGCAAGTTGGACGGGTTGGTAAAAACGCATAACTTTGTATGGGTAGCGCATAAGACGTGGATACAAATTAGCGCTTGTGCTGTGTACGTCTCGATCTTTTGTATCTGTGTCTTACGCGCTATACATTAGAAGTTATTCATGTTACTCAGTGTACATGTAATGCACAAACATGTTTGAATTTTTCTAGACCAAAATGCGTAAAAAATGGTCTTGAGTCTGTTTGACCCGAGCACGTTTAAGGGACACTAACGTCAAATAACAATTTACGTCAGAGTGAAAGCTCACTGTATCACATCTAAAATGACAATATTATCAACAACAGTGCCCTACTTACCGAGAAATTAGGGTAAATACATGAGAACACAAGCGACGCGGTGGGACATTTTCGAAATGATCCCGATGACGTCAGACATACCGCCAACAATTAATCACTAGTAATCGATCTAGCTCACTAAATAAAGAACCTTACGTGCATCAAGAGACGCAATAAAATGCCTCATTTTTTGCTTCTGTTTGGTTCATGAAAAATAAAACCGCTGGACGTTACTATGGATAATGGCGCGAGTGGTTCAAAAATTCAATTTTTACGTGATTACACGGGACAGGCGGGGCGCAGTTGAACCAAAAAATGTCTGCAATCTCGAAACCAATGGCGGGAAATTGATCAATGGCCGTTGTTGCTACTGTGCCTCCCATTGCTTTCGGTCTGCTGCTACTGGTGCAGTAAAGCCGGGTAACGTTGTGCACGGCAAAGGTGACCTTCTTGTGGCGGGTAATTTGAAGTGCACTAACCCAATGCGGACCACTAAAACGTAATTTTATTTCAAAATAGGCGCTTTCTTGGCACAAAAGTGACACTACGAGGTTTCTGGACTGCTATTTCATCAATCAACGTCGACCTAATAGTTTCCTTTAGTGTTCCTTTAACCTGTGCGGCCTCATGATGGTAAAAAAGTCTGACCAGTGAAGCGCCTCGTTGGACTAGTTGGTAGATGACCTTGTACGAAAAAACCGTAACGCGACAACAAAAATAAGATCAGAGCAGTTAGCACCAGAACTGTGTTCTCGTACTGTTGCGCGATATTTTCGGAGAACTTCAGAGTGAATTTCGAAGCGCCAGGTGTTTAGACCATAGCCGGTGTGTTCTGACTCAGTGTACATAAATATCTCAATTAGGAAACGGACCCTCCGACGTCACTTTCATAGACATCACCGGAGCAAATCACCATGTGAATGAGGTAATTTCGTATCATAAATTGAAAAAAAAAACGGCGGGCATAGGCGGTGACTCTAAGCAGCTTTTGAGGAAGATACATTGAAAAAATACATTTTACTTAGAATGCAAAGGAATAGGTAGAACAGAGGACGTTGATATTAGCAAAGAGCTGAGGCAGGGATGCCCTTAGTCCACACTGTTATCCATGCTGTACATGGTGAGAATGTAAAAGGCTCTGAAAGGCAGCAACATTGGTTTTAATCTGTCACACAAACAGGGTGGCGTGATGTTTCCAGAGCAGCTTGATGTTTAATTTTCGTCATACGATATCGTCTGATTTGTGAACAGCCGAGATACTATACAGTGGCCGGCGGATATATGCAGAAGGAAGGATTAAGCTTTTTGACTACAATCGAACATGACAAAATGTGTATTAAAGCCTCATTAGATGATGCTAATGGTCAGGTGGTGTCGAAACCGTCCAAAGAAATACATAGGCTAAGCGAAAACATGTATACTCATCGACAGTAAAAAAAGAAATTGCACCATCTGCTACGAAAGGGCATCATGTGGGGATAGGCCCAAATAGTGTGTTTCTATTGTGTTTTTATTGTTTCCATTTAATACCTTTGATGTTTGATTGGTATGTTTTCATGTATATTTCATTTGTGTGTGGAGTTATGTGTATGTTGTGTATGGCTTATGTTATCCCCCTCCATTGTGTGTATTACCTTGTGTGTATTTATCGCACTGTAAAGAGGTTTATTGGGCGAACCTAACGGGCAGGTGGGAGATTCGAGATAGCGACCGGTCGTGGAAGATGGTGTAGCTCGAGCGCCAATCTCGTGGTGCCTTGCTCTGCGATGATGCTTGTTGTTCACTGGTGTTGTCATCATTCCTTCATTATATTTGCCCCCGTCGAGAAATATGAAGCCATCCTGGCGATCTAACAGGTGGGAACGAGCGGGTCGCAGTACGGCTTCAAGCGGTCCACGTGAACAATATCGTGTCCACGCCGACGATGGACACCGAGCGGCGTAAGCGGTTCAATGGCTTAATTGACGGGCGATGTGCGCTCTACCACGTGGTATGGACCATGGTAATTTGAAAGTGGCTTGGTAGACAATCAGGTGCACAGGGTGGTACATACAGCCATACAAGGGTTCCAGGGGCGAACTTTGTGGCAGGAGGGTGGTCGTCATCGCGGGCCTTTTTCTGGCGTTGCTGGTCAGCCGTAGTAAACTGCTTCGCTAGTTGGCGGCATTCTTCGGCGTGACGGGTGGCTTCGGACACGGTAGTGCACTCAGATGCATCTGGTGCGTATGGCAGCAAAGTGCCAATTGTGTGCGAGCGATAGTTGACGTCCGTATAGAAAGAAGAATGGGGAAAAGCAGATGGTGACTTGGGTAGCGATGTTGTACGCGTAGGTCGCAAACGGAAGAACCAGGTCCCAGTTCGTTTGGTCAGATGCCACATGCGTCGCGAGCATGTCACCCAGGGTCCGATTAAACCGCTCAGTCAGGCCATTCGTCTGAGGGTGGTAATCAGTACTCATCCGGTGTACTATATGGCACTGACGGAGAAGTGCTTGGATTACGTCGGATAGAAATACACGGCCCCAGTCACTGAGGAGCTCACGAGGAGGGCCGTGACGCAACACAAACCGATAGAGGATGAAAGATGCGACACCCTGAGCGGTAGCCGTAGGAAGAGCAGCCCTGTCGGAGTACACCGTGTCAGGTGATCTACAGCAACGATAGCCCACCGGTTACCTGCTGTGGTCAATGGCAGTGGCCCATAAAGGTCAATTCTGACGCGATCGAATGGGTGGTTGGGGCACGCAAGCGGCTGTAGGGGAGCTGCTCCTGGATTCGGTGGCTGTTTCCGCCGCTGGCACTCATGGCATCTGCAAGTAAACTGTAGAACAAAAGTAAACATCCCACGCCAGTAGTACCACTTCCTTAAACGTTCGTAGGTCTTGAAGACACCGGCGTGAGTGCATTGCGGGTCGGAGTGAAATGATGCAGATTGTAGAGCGCGGATTTCGGGGAATAACGAGCAGCTACTTTCTGCCGTCTGGTGAGTTATTGCGGCAGTACAAGAGGCCACCTCAAATGGTGAAGTGCGAAGCCCGGCGTCGCATTGCTCGAGTGGTTGGAAGTGTTGGTACCTCAGATAAAATGTCCAGAAGCGAAGTTATCCATGGATCGTCGCGCTGTGCAGAGGACATGGTGTCGATGTCAAGAGCTGACAGCACGTGTTCTATAGAAGACATAAAGGCAGCCTCAGTGGACAGTGGTGATCGCGAGAGCACATCAGCATCGGCATGTTGGCGGCCGGAACGGTACACGACACTGATGTCATACTCTTGAAGTCGCAGAGCCCAACGAGCAAGGCGACCTCATGGGTCCTTCAGCGACGACAACCAACATAAGGCATGATGGTCTGCAACTACAGCAAACGTGCGGCCATGTAAGTATGGGCGAAACTTGACAATCGCCCAAAGCATGGCTAAGCACTCTGTTTCGGTAACACTGTTGTCTACCTCAGCCTTGTTGAGCGTTCTGCTGGCGTAGGCGACGACATACGCAGAAGATCCAGGCTTGCGTTGAGCGAGAACTGCACCAAGACCGACACCACTGGCGTCTGTATGGATCTCAGTTGCAGCCGTGCGATCATATTGGAGCAATATAGGTGGTGATGTCAGGAGACGGTGAAGAGTGGTAAATGCGTGATCACACTCGGAAGACAATGACGAGATGTCGATGGCACTGCTTAAAAGTTGGGTCAAAGGGGCAATTATGGAGGCAAAGTTTCGCACAAACCAACGAAAGTAGGAGCACAATCCTACGAAGCTGCGTAACTGTTTTATAGTCGTTGGTTTGGGGAATTCGGCGACAGTGCGTAGTTCAGCCGGGTCGGGAAGAACGCCATCATTTAATACGACGTGACCGAGAATGGTGAGCTTCCGAGCGGCGAAGTGGCATTTCTTGAGATTCAGTTAGACCTGCGCATTCTTCAGACACGTGAGGACATGTTTCATGCGTACAAGAAGTGTTGCGAAATCGGGTGCAACATGACGGTATCATGCGTTGAATGTGGCCAACGCATTGCGGAGGTCGAAGGACTTGACATTAAACTCATATAGCCCGTCCGGTGTCATGAAGGCTGTTTTTGGACGATCGGCAAAGGGCGTCATCAATCGTGGGCAAATGGTATACATCTTTGCGAGTGATCTTATTTAAGCACCTGTAATCAACGCAGAAACGAATAGTGACATCCTTCTTCTTAACAAGAACGACATGTGATGCCCATGGACTTTGGGAAGGTCGGATAACGTCGCGCTTGAACATATCGTCAACCTGTTCAGTGATAACCTGACGTTACGCGCTGGAAACACAGTATGGTCGCTGTCGTACTGGCGCGTTGGAACCTGTGT